TTTTTTTTTTTTTTTTTTTTAGGCATGTCTTTTTTTTTTTTTTTAAGATTTTATTTATTTATTTGACAGACAGAGATCACAAGTAGACAGAGAGACAGCCAGAGAGAGGAAAAAATAGGCTCCCCACCGAGCAGAAAGCCAGATGCGGGGCTTGATCCCAGGACCCTGAGATTATGACCTGAGCTGAAGGCAAAGGCTTTAACCCACTGAGCCACCCAGGCGCCCCTCCCAGCTTTCTTTTGAGGCCCATTGGCATGAAAGATGCTTTTCCATCCCTTCACTTTCAGTCTGGATGTATCCTTAAGTTCAAAATGAGTCTCTCGTAGACAGCATGTGGACAGGTCCTGCCATTTTATCCAATCCGCAACCTGTGCCATTTTATGGGAGCGTTTAGGCCTTTCACATTGAAAGTGATTATGGAAAGATATGTTTTTATTGACATCATGTTGCCTATGAAGTCCTTGTTTCTATAGATTGTCCCTGTAAATTTCTGTTCTATGACACTCTTGGGTTCTTTCTTCTTTTATAGAACCCCCCTTAATATTTCTTGTAGTGCTGGCTTGGTGATCACATACTCTTTTAAAACTTGATGGTCTTGGAAGTTCTTTATCTCTCCATCCATTTTGAGTGTCAGCCTTGCTGGATAAAGTATTCTTGGCTGCATGTTCTTCTCATTTAGTGCCCTGAATATGCATCGCCAGCCCTTTCTGGCTTGCCAGGTTTCTGTGGACAGGTATGATATTATTCTGATGGACCGTCCTCTGTATGTAAGGAATTTCTTTCCCCTAGCTGCTCTCAAGAGCTCCTGTCTAAAATTATTATTCATCAGTTTTACAACAATGTTTTGGAGCCTAAGGAATAATGTGGAGGACATTGGGAGATGGAGCGGAGAAGGGCATTGGGGGAAATTGGAGGGGAAGGCAAACCATGAGAGACTGTGGACCCTGAGAAACAAACTGAGGGTTTTGGAAGGGAGAGAGGGATTGGGTGAGCCTGGTGTTGGGTATTATGGAGGGCACGTATTGCAGGGAGCACTGGGTGTGGTGCATAAACAATGAATGCTGGAACACTAAGAAGAAAATAAATAAATAAAATTGGGAAAAAAATCCCTCATTTAGAAAAAGGCTGCAATACAGTACAAATAACATATTTTGAACCATTTTAATGCAAGTGGCCATTCTGATATATCTGAGAGTACTTATTATTTCCTACAAACAAGAGTATTTTTCTACGTGACGGTAATACAACCAACAAAATCAGGAATTAACATTGTTACATTACTATCTTCTAATCTTTGGACCTCATTCCATTTTTTTTTTGCCACCTGTGCTAATAGTGTCTTTGTAACAAAAGATCATGTTCAGATTCATGCATTATATTTAGTTTTCACGTCTCTTTATTGTCTTCTGTCTGGGACAATGGTTCAGTCTTTATTTGACATTAATGATCTTGGCATATTTTGAAGATAACATGTTAGTTATCTTGCAGACAAATCTTTAATTTTTTTTTAAACAAACCTGAAATTTGGACTTATTTGAACTTCCTTGTGATTGGACCTAGTTGTGCATCTTTGGCAGGAGTATCACAGAAGAGATGCTGTGTTATTCTCATTTCATCCTCTCAGGTGGTGCAGGGTTTTGGTCTTGATTTTTCCAATTACTGATGATGTTCACATGGATCACTTTATTAGGGTGGTGTCAGGTGGGCTGCTCCATTGTGAAATTACTCTTTTCCCACTAGTATTGAAATATTTTTATAGGGAGTTACTTTGGAACTATGTAATATATTGTTCCTCATCAAACTTCTAATTTATTCATTTATTAATTTACATTAGTATGAATCAGAGTTACCTGTTATATGCAAGGAGTTATAATTTTTATTTTTATTTTGGTACTCAAATTGTCCTAGGTTTGATCACTGAGAGCCCTTTAAGATGTCTTCTGTGTCCTGCATGTCCATTTTGATACATGTCCCCATCACTCTTTGAGCACTTCTTTGCTTTTAGATATAAAAAGATGGTCTGGATTTAAATTCTATTTTCCCTGCTCCAGCCCTGGGAACTTTCTCCAAATGAGCCCTCATTTCTTTTACTGTAGGCTCGAATTTGGAAACCAAGATGTGGGTGCTAGTTGTGCTCATTCCTTTGGGGGTAGGAGGCCACTGCTCCAAAACCATCTCTGAGCTAGGGAGTATATGTGTATAGATACATACATATACAAACATTTACATCTATGTTTATTTATATTTATTGAAACCCCTAAGTTTCAATACCTCTAATTTCAATTCATCATAAGATTCATGTTTGTTTTCTTCCTTTACATTTTTAATACTCCATTCTCTGACAGTGAGAAAGCTGGCTTCCATTATCCTTAATCTACTTGTTTATTTGATCAATCCCTAGTAGGTTTCCAATTTTCATTATTGCCTCTACTCTCTTCCCTACATGGGTGTCCTCCTCATTCTGCTTGAGCTCTTATACCCCACACCAGGCTATGGAGTCGCCAGATTTAGCAAATAAAAATATAGGGTGTTGCCATTTGCAATGATGTGGATAGAGCTACAGTATTATGCTAAGTGAAATAAGTCAGAGGAAGACACATACCATATGATTTCACTCATATGTGGAATTTAAGAAACAAGACAGATGAACAAAGGTGAAAAAAGAGAAAGAGAAGCAAAGCAAGAAACAGACTCTTAGCTATAGAGAAAAAACTGACGGTTATCAGAAGGGAAGTGTGTAGGGGATGGGTTAAATAGGTGATGGGGATTAAGGAGTGTACTGGTTGTGATGAGCACTGGGTGTTAAGTGAAGTACTGAATCACTATATTGTATGCCTGAAACTAATATTACACTGTATGTTAACTAACTGTAATTTTAATATAAACTTAAAAATATTTATAGGATGCCTAGTTGAATTCAAATCACAGATGACTACAAAGAATTTCTTGGACAAATATATCTCATGCACTATTCAGAATATACTTATACTAATATATATATATATATGTTGTTATTGTTGTTGTGTTGTTTCGTTCTGTTTACCTGAAGTCCAAATTTAACTGGGCATCCTGTATTTACTCTGGCAACCTATAGCCTGATCCTCCACTTGGATCCCCTCCCACCCTGCTTAGACTTGTAAAACCCAGTTTTGGGCTTCTCCAATGTGTAGATTCCTACGTTTCTCCACTAGGGCTCTGACCCCTCCAGATGCCAGGCCACGTCCCTCTCCCACATTAAAGCTTCCCTCACCTACTTTGAATTCTGATACATCATGTGAAATTGCCTCTAAACATGGATGCTCCCTTATCTACATAGATTTTAATACCTCTTACCAGGGCATCCCTATATGTGAATCCTTTTCACATTCCGCTTGGGTTCAAACAACCAGTGCCAAACCCTTACATGTCCTGTCTATTATAGCCAAGCTTCTCAATCCTACCCCATGTTGATGCCCTCCTCCACATACTGGGGCTCAGATACCACATACTGAGCCCCCTTGGTATGGAGATCTCTTCATTCTGGTATGTTTCTGATACCCTAAGTCTGACCTCATTCATGGACATCCATTTCACTCCACAGAGGCTCTAACCTTCTATATAAGACTATATCCCCATGTGGACACTGTCCTCCCCCTTTTTAAGGCTGTCTTCTCATGTTCACTGTGTATGAATCTCTTGTCATTCTGCTTAAGCTCTAATATGTCACATCCTCTGGCCCTCTGTGTGGATGCCTACCTTGTTCTGACCTACTTAATGGTTTTAGGATTGAATTATTTTAGGAGGAGAAAGAAAAGGGGAAGAGGAAGAGCAAGATTTTGCATCTTGATTCAAGCGAAGCAAGGGCAAGAATGTTGGAGTGGATTCATGTCAGCAGTGATATTATGATGAAATTGTCCATTCATTTCTTTATCACAAAATTACAATGTGCCCCCTTACTGTCTCAATTTAGCCCCCAACACATTCTTGTAAGCATCATATATTTCAGGTGTGGCTGTACTTTTGGATTACATGCTCTTATGTTTGGAAAAATTAAGGAAAAGTTAACCCAAATATATTTTCTACTTCTATCTTTTGAATATTTTGGAGGAAAAAAAACTAAAAGAAAAGGCTACTAAATGTGTGTTATTTTACTTCTTTTCTCTTTATAAATATTTTAGAATATCCTATCCTTTAGAGCAGTCATTCTCAAACAGGCTGCTATTTCAGGAATTAACTAGCAAGCTTCTTTAGGAGGTAACTATTCTTTCCCATTCCTTCTTTCAGACATTGTGGTAGGTCTCCAGGAGAAGAAACAGTGGTAAGAGAGGGCAAAAAAGCTATGTGGTCTAGAAAATTCTAGAGATGATACAGTTTCAACCCTCCTTTGTTAATATAATAACAACACTCTGATCAAAAGAACAATATTAACATGACAAAGAAAAACTAGTGTTCGATACTTCATTTTTCTTGTCATCAAATGTGTTATGGATTTTTTAATGTTTAAGTTATTTTCTTTATCTTACTGCATAGAAAATCTGTGCATCTGTCATATCTGCTACATTGAGCACAAATTATTCCTGGTCTATAAGGCCTTCTTGACAGAGATCCTCTACAAAAAAGCAGAAAACATTTAGTTAGAAAAAAGTCTCAAATTTCATCATTTAAATAATATGGTTACCAATTTTTAGTTAGGTTATTAAGGTGATTTAACTAAGAAAAGGGACTTAAGGAAGTACTGAAGTTGGAGATGTAATCTTCTCCTTTTCCCCCCAAGAAAATAGTCTTTTCTGAAATGAATCCCCATGTCCTTAAAACAAAGTACTGTAATTTAAGTGTGAATGAGTTTTAAAGCTGCCTGGGTGGCTCAGTGGGCTAAGCCACTGTCTTCAGCTCAGGTCATGGTCTCAGGGTCCTGGGATCGAGTCCCTCATCGGGCTCTCTGCTCAGCGGGGAGCCTGCTTTTCCTCCTCCTCCTCTCTCTCTGCCTGCCTCTCTGCCTACTTGTGATCTCTGACTGTCAAATAAATAAATAAAGTATTTTTTAAAAAGCTGCTTTAATTTAAGTTTGTAGCAAAATTTTCCTTTCAAAATGATGTTATAGAATGTTTTATAATTAATTGCTTTCTGCTTGGTACAAATATATAAAAATTTCTATAGAAATGATATATTAATTTTCTGAAAAGTTTGTAAAATCCTGAAATGCTTATTGTCCTAAAGAACCAGCTGCATGATTTACTCAAAGTCTGCCTTAAAAATATGTAAATATATAAATAAGCAAATAAATTTAAATGGGATTTTACAAATTTGGTTTAATTCATTGTTTAGAACAGAGGGAAGAATTGAGAAATTATTACATCAATTGCCCAGGGCTAGGTAAGAAAGAGAGGCCACACAATAGATATAAATTGGGAAGTTTATATGAAGGATTTAGGTTGAGAAAGAGGGAAGATAGGCAGAGAAATAATATTTAACGAGAATACTTATTTACTCAGTGTGTAGGTGAAAATTTTAAAAACAAAGATTAGGCACAGAAGACCCTGGTTAGGTCACTCTGGGCCATCCAGAAGAAGGGTGAAAACTTAGAAATATATACCAAAATAAATTTACATCATGGTAGAATACAATGGGTCTTCTTTTCCAAAGATTTGAATTTCATATCACTATTTATATTATATAGCCAGAAACGTCAGACTAATACTCTCCCATGCCAATATTTTTCTTGTTCTGAGTCTGTAAGAAGTTTAACGTAAATCAAGTTAAGTCCAGATCTACAGTACAATTCCACAATTGCAATTGGAATTATTGGCCTGGATTAGGAGAAAAGAAAATTAAATACCTATTACCAGCAAGTTCCATTGAAATTTCAAAGCTTCCCTGGAAGTACTTGAAGAAACAGACAAATTTATTTTTTTAGGCATTTGCTTTTCCCAAGAATCAGCCTAGAGGTTTGCTGAGATCAAGTCAAAATGGTCCTCTGGAACACTATTTAGACTCCTATTTTGTCATACCTTCAGGATATTACTATTACAGGACATGTGTCCAGGCCCTATATAAGGCTGTGTTGCCCAGGTGGCCTAATGAGCAACTATATGCATGTCTAAGCCTAAGTCCACTAGAAGATCATTATTTAAATTCTATGATAGAGCTATAGAGCTGTATAGATCATGACCTTAGCGGAAACCAAGAGTTGGGCACTCAATCAACTGAGCCACCCAGGTGCCCCAAACCTTTCTGTAACTCTATCACATCTCCTCCCTTCACTCTCACATCTTGTACCTACAGGTCTAGGACCCACAGTTAAACACTCCTTTGAGATGGATATTATTTAGCTGCACTATCCTTTAATCCTCCCCAAGATACCATCTTCCTTCTGATCTAGTGCCTCATTCATTTTGGTACCTTGGTCACCATCTCCCTTTTCAGGCGAAATTGTTCTCATCCCTAAATTTGGGACATAGATGATTACAATGTGCTTATGGATGATTCATCCAAAGGCTTGGCCTGTTACTGGATGTTTTTACCATCTCAAATAATACTCCATAATTGTTGCTTTTGTAGCCACATTCTGGATCTTGTTATCCCCTAAAACTTTACCTCTGAACTCACAATATCATACATCCCATTCACTGACTGCAGCCTCCTATCCTTGCAGCTTGCTCACTCATTTACTCCTGTCATATTTCTTCATTAAGTTCATTGGTACTGCAAGTCTATTTTATCCCTATCTATACTACTGTCTCTTCTCAATAAAGCCTAGGTCTATTGCTTTGCATATTATCTGGCTAAAACCCTATAACTCTATTACTGTTTTCCTTTATGTCTACCTGACAAAACCCCAGTGCTGGAAAAAATGACAGAACCTTAACAGTCTGCATGCTCCATGTCTGCTTCAAGGCTGCTGGGTGTTGCTGGGGAAAAATCATTATAGGAGGTAGAGAATCTTTCTATGTTTCTCTAATCAGCTTCCTCCCTCATTTTCCATTGTAACTCTTTCAAGCCTTCCCACACCTCAAAATTCTAGCTTCACTGTCTCCTTTATTCTCAGGACATGATCTGTCCTACTTCACAGTGAAATATAATAGCCTTTAGATTGAAACATGGGAAATTTTTTTTTCACTAAACATGACAAATATACCTATTTCCTTCTTCCTTCCTTTTTTTTTTTTTAATAAAAAAAAGATTTTATTTATTCATTTGAGAGAGAATGAGAGAAAGCATGAGAGGGGAGAGGGTCAGAGGGAGAAGCAGACTCCCGGCTGAGTTGGGATGGCGATGTGGGGCTCTGTCTTGGGACTCCGGGATCATGGCCTGAGCCAAAGTTGCTTAACCAACTGAGCCACCCAGGTACCCTCTTCCTTCCTTTTTAATACAACTGGAGAACTGCCCCTCCTTCCTTCTAAGGCTAATCTCTTTAATAACTTTCCATTTTCTCAGGAACTTGTACCTTTGGATATGTATATACACACACACTCACACCCACACTCTGCCTTTGTTCTTTATAAAGAATTGCTTTTATCTGTATTTGACCTTTCATGTCAATATTTAAATAGGTTTATATCTTTCCCACTTTAAAAACAAAACAAAACAAAATAAAAGCAACAATAAAAGAGCCCAGAATTCATTCATTTCCCTCTATTCCACAGAAATGGCTCTTCTTATGCTTATCAATGAACTTCTCTTTAATCTGATATTTTAATGTCCTTACTTTGCTTGACCTCTTAGAAATTTTGGATTACTACTTCCTTCTAAAAACATACTTTCCCCTATGCTTCCTATGATACTCTTCTGTTTTTTTCTCCTACCTATGTGATCATTCTTAGGTTCCTCCCCACACTTCATCTTCCTTAAATTGCCCTTAAATGTTGGCATAAGATTCTAGAGGTGCTGTTCTCTTTTTATTCTATACCTCCCACTAGGCAATCCCATTTACTCACATGATTTCAATTACCCTATGTAGTCTTGCACTCCAAATATTTGTTCTATGCCATGCCTTACTCATGAGCTTCTGACCCATATAACCACCTGCTTATTGAAAATCTCAATGCAGGTAAATCACAGCCAACTTAAATTCATTATGTTCAAGATGGATTTCATGATCTTCCCTCCCAGTAGGTTCAGTGTTTCCCATTGCAGTTAATGGCAATACCAGTCATGCCTGAATTATAATTCTGAGAATCTTCTTTGTTACCTCTTTTATTACTTCCTTTTTTACAGATTTAATTAATTTCAGAGAGAGAGAGGGCATACATGCAAGTGAGGGGAGGGGCAGAGGGAGAGAATCTTTAAGCAGACTCTCTGCTGAGCATGGAAGCCACCTGATGTGAGGCTCAATCCCATGAGATTATGACCCCAGCCAAAACCAAGAGTCTGATGCTTAACTGACTGGACACTGTCCCTCCTCTTTCTCATTACTTAGTATAATGATCTACAAATCCTGTTATTATTGTCTTCTAAAAATGTCTTAAATAATTCTCTGATCTCAATCCAGATATCCTTCATTAATGTTAAAGTAAATAAATAAGTAAGTAATAATTATAATACTTGTAAGTATATGGTGGAAAGGAGGAAGCGGAAAAGGCAAACTTATTTTTATTTTTCTTAAAAGATTTTATGTATTTATTTGAGAGAAAAGGAGGGAGAGCATGAGAGGGGAGAGGGTTAGAGGGAGAAGCTGACTCTCTGTCAAGCAGGGAGAAGGGCAACTTTAAAGGGGAAAATGTCTCCATCCTCTACTTCTCCTTCTATCTTCCCAAAGATAACTTCTGTTTAACATCTTCTTATGATTCCTACCAGAAACAAGTGTTTTTTTTCCCCCATAAAAATTCTCAGTACTTATATATTGTGATAGACTACTAGCTATCAATCTAAATATCTCTTAAAATACAGAAATAACAATATTTTAGCTTGTCACATTATTGGCTAACCATGTTATGTTTCCTAATTTCCCTTGCAACTTAGATGTGGCCATGTGATCAGTTTTATATCCAATGGAATGCAAACAGCAGTAATGTGCATCACTTCCCACTTGTGCTATAGGAGATGGTCATGCAGACAACAGGTTTCTTCTGCCTTACTATGAGATTAAGCAAGCCTTTATCTGTGACTTGGGCTTGATCTGTAGACATAGATTCTGCCTCCAGGGAGTGGTGAAGAAACAAGATGGGAGCAAGCTGGGTCTCTGAATGACTAGTAGAGCAGACCTACCCACCTAACTGAAATTTCCCATTTCTCTCTTCTGAATCACTGTATTTTCTGATAATGCTACCTGCTATAACAAAAGACCCAGTCTTACTTATTATTGTTCTGAATCTTACTTTTTCATCTAACAAGTGAGATTGGTACAGAAAGACACCAGTATTCTCAACAGTTATACAATAATGCACTGTAAATTAATTGTTCAGTTTGCTATTACTTGAGTCATTATTTTTTTATTTCAGTTTCATGCTATTAAAACATATTGAAATGGGTATCCTTGTGTATATATATACATATATATATATAGGCCTATTTTCATAAAGATATTAATACGATAAAATTCTAATAAGGATATTACAAGAATAAAAAGTAAGTATATTTTAAATTTTATTATTATGCCAAATCCAGAAAGAT